CTCTCTGGACAGTCATCAAACCTTGAGAGGCTGGTGTTAATGAGCTCGCGGCGTACCATATATCTGGCGAAGTCAGCCATGTCTGATCTCTCACTCTTTGGTGCCAAAGTAACTTGTGGAACCCCTTGGGTGTGAAAGTTCTCTGGTGATGTAGGGTGAGGTTTACCAGTATAAAATGATGTTACATAGTTACATAGTATTTGAGGTTGAATAAAGACATTAGTCCATCAAGTCCAACCTATTAGGATCTTAGGATGTTGCACGGGTGTTTAACTTTGGTATAGTCTCTAAGGCTTCTGCTGGCTGTGGCTTGAGCTGCGGCTTGTCGCTGGAAGTCACCTTGTTGTTGGCAGGAGGTGATGTGGTTTGCTGCGTAGATTCACTTGTGTTGTAGACTTGAGGAGGCTCAGGCATTTGAAGCTGAGAGGTCTCTGTGTTGAGAGTCAGAACAGTGTTGTTAGTAAGAGGTACAGGCGATGACTCTGTATCTTTGCAAACATTATGCTTTAGCACATATTCACTGGTGCGTTCAATTGGATCTTCCAGTTCTGCTGGGATAAGACAGTCTGAGTTAGTACTTTGTCCCATTGCTTGTTCAAGGACTTTCAGCCTTGCTAGGGCAGCTGCTTCCTCCCTTTCCATTTGCAGAATCTTTATTTGGGAATCCGCCTCTGCTTGTTGAGCAGCCATTTGTGCTTGGAGAGCTTTGCCTTGAGCTTGACGAGTTTCCATCTCTGCATGGCGAGCTGCCATCTCTGCTTGGCGAGCTGCCATCTGTGCTTCCATCTCTGCTTGGTGAGCTGCCATCTCTGCTTGGCGAGCTGCCTTTTGTGTTTCTACCTCTGCTTCTTTCCTGGTAAAGGAGCTTTGCACCTTTTTTGATTCCGCATCAGCGCGGGCCTCTATTACCTTGTCGCTTAATGTAGAACTTCTGGAGCGAGAGGATCCTAGAAGAACGTGCCGTGTGCTTGGTTGATGTTGATCTGTGAGATCTGGTCTCCTGCAGTTGAGCAATGCGGAGTTCTGCC